CAACTGCGATATTCACTCGATAAACTCGCTGTCCTTCTGAAATATCGTTGCAAAAGAAAGCTTTAATATAATCTTTTCTAAACATTTTAATTCTTTCTGTTTCTTCGCCTTTTACTGAAATTGATATTCCGGCTGGTATTTGTATGGCAACATAGTTTTTAGATTTTATATTAATAACAGAATATAACATATTTGATGCATATAAAATGCACATTGGGTTTACGTGATAAAATTCTGGCCCTTTCGCCGCCAATCAGAGATATCTCTAACTTTCTGTCATTGTACTATAAGGTTTTCATATCTCTAATTAATACAAATTCAATTAAATATAAAGTATTGATATTATCAAATATGAACAAATTCCTACAGCATTTGCAGGTTATGATAATGGTTAAATACTTGATGATCAACCTATTTTAGCAAATTTTAATTCCACAAGGGTTTTTTTTGCAACCAGTTATAGCTCAAGAACTTGCGGGTCATAAAAGTATCAAACTTATAGTCCAAAATCATATGATTGTATCAAAGGATGTTCTTGATGTAATTTTTTGAAAGAAAAAAAGTTTTGACATCGAAATTGCGAAGAAATATTTAACAGCTAAATCGAGAAAACTATTAACTGTATCAAAAAGTTCCATTGTCGCCGATAAAATATATCAAGAAATAAACAAAACAATAGAATTTACTGCATCAGGATCGAGCTAAAAATTTAAAATGATAAAAAAAAAAAAATTTTCACAGAGCAAACTATAACTTACTTCGCGGTTGTTTGTACGTCAATCTCCCTAAAAAAAATTAAAACAAAAATGCTGTATAAAATTTAAAACCAATGATTATTAATGATTTCATTTTTCTATTCTTTCTGCGATATTTCCAGAAAAAAATACTGATCGCGTTAACAAGTATTTTCCGCACAATGACGAACTAAATTTTAATGGCATTAACTTTTCAGCAGAAGAAATAATATACCAAAGTTTGAAAAACAAAACAGTGTCTCAGTAAATGTTTTCGGACTAGATGAGAAAAAAGTTTACCCGAGATATATCTCAGAAAATGCTACACAAGCTACAATAAATTTATTATTTTATCAGGGACATTATTGTTGGATAAAAATCTTATACCGCTTAATTAGCAGACAGTATAGTAAAAATAAAAAAAATAACAATATTTTTGTTATAAACGTCTGCATGGTTTTTCTGGCGATGGAATATTACAAGATTATCTCAGAAAATGTGCAAACGTTAAAAAAATAGCTAAGCCTAGCGAAGAAGAAAAAATATTAAAATTTAAAAAGTATGAAAATAAACTAAATATTCCGTTCGTTATTTGCGCTGATTTAGAGTGTCTACTCGTTCCTGTAGATGGAGCAGAAAATAATACGAATAAATCAAGTACTAGAAAAATACAACATACCCCTTGAGGAGTAGCTTATAAAGTAGTTTGTTGCGCTAACGATAAATTTTCAACTCAAATAAAGTTATACAGAGGAGAATATCCAACTGTATGGTTATTAAAATAATTTAATATACGAAGTTAATAAATTTCTAACTGATTACTTAAAACAGCTCTGATGCAAATAACGTCACAACAACAGCTCGATTTCGATGAAGTAGTTGATTGTCATATTTGTGAAAAGTTGCTAGTAGACTCCAGGGGAGTTTGTAATAAAGTTCGAGATCATTGCCATTTGACCAGCCAATATCGTGGAGCAGATCGTAACAGTTGCAATTTAAAATTTCATGCTCTAGACTTTATTCCCATAGTTTTACATAATTTTTGTGGACATGATAGTCATATCATTGTAGAAGCTTTCCTTGATGAAAATATTAAAGCTGAACTATAATTAAATAATACAATAAAATGTATTCCAAATAATTTTGAAAAGTATACGTAAGTGACTCTCGGTAAATTACGTTTCATTGACAATTTTCAATTTATATCAGCATCATTAGATGAACCTGTAAAATGGTGTAGCGATTTGGTTAACCTGAAAAGTTGTTTTCGTGCAAACTATATCGATCTAAAAAGAAAGGTATCTTTCCGTAAGAGTTTCGCGACGATTGGAGCAGATTTAACGATACTTCTGTGCCTGACAAAGATAAATTTTACTCGAAACTCAACAATGAAAATATCACAAATGACGAATATAAATATGCACAAGATATTTGGAATAAATTTAGTTGTAAAACATTTGGTGATTATCACGATTTATATTTGAAAACAGATGCATTATTGCTAGCAGATATATTTGAGAGTTTTCGTGAAGTTAGTTATAAAAATTATAGATTAAATCCTTGTTGGGGTTTTCTGATTTCAAACCATCTTTGATTTGTAAACATCATCAATGTATACTACTGCAGATATATTTCTAAGCAATATTCAATAGATAGGTACATAGGGGTACATCTCATTCTAGATATATATAACGGGGTCGGGACCCAGGTTTAGTCGCGTTAAGATGCATACCAGCAGTGGACAAACACAAGCTAAGACTTTTCATGAACTCCAATGCAGAATTTTGTCTTGTCTGTCTGTGGATATTGAAAATGACTTACACATGCAGAAGCGCTGAGAAGGAGAGGGGTGTGTAGTTGTAGGATTTTATTGAAAAACTATTACAAAACTGATAGAACAAACACGATAAGGTAAAAGATGAAAATACCGATAGATGTTTAATTTAAAAAAAGAAATTTTAATTAGAGGGTAAATGCTTAATGCAAATGGCACATTATATGATGGCAGATCATATCGATGTCGTTGGTAGTTGGATATGACCTGTCTGCGAATACATAGGCTCGTTAAATAATCAAGGTAGAGCCGAATGTGATGAATGTACTAAAATATAGAAATATGGTACAGCCATCAAAATTATAGCTAAAATTTAAGATCCCGGAATTTTATTTAACAATAAAGGATTGATATATGCTGCGATTAGATTCTGCATTAAACGTTTGACATAAAATAATGTCGATATTAAAATGAAAATGTCTTATTAAACTGCGTAAACATAATGAAGACTTCTCGAGACAGTAGGGAGCATAAACGTCCACATAAAATCCTCATATTATTAACTGTAGGCAAAACCGGAGAAGATCACTGTATTTCTCACAGTCCCGTTATCCCCTAATGGACGAAAAACAATAATTGCCAAGTTATTTAAATGTAAGATGTGTGCACACATAAAGTTATAAAGCTATACAAATGGATGGATCCATGGATAAACATTCACGCTCACAAACAGGGCTGGTGTGTGTGTGTGTGTGTGTGTGTGTGTGTGTGTGTGTGTGTGTGTGTGTGTGTGTGTGTGTTTAATTTGTATTGAATATTGGCTTTTCTCCATGATTATAAGTTATGTATATCTATAATGTGTGATTGAACTTGGTCAATAATTCTGTTTAGGGCATACCTGGCTACTCATATGTCTTTGTTTTCCTTTTGGCAAACAACATATATCATAGCTAATATTTTTCAGTGATTATATATTATATAATTTATTACTATATGCTTGGGTTTAAATTTGTAACATTCGTGTTTCCCCACGGAAATTCCTGGTGTACAACGTATAATATTTTTGAAATGATGTTGATGGGAAATTACCCTCATCCTGATTCTGTTTTAATGTCATATATGCAGAAGTAAACAGAAAATCTGTATTCTTTATCTTAACACCAGTATTTCGTGGAATCTAGTTGTGTTTAGTTGAGAGGATTTGATTTATCTATTTAAATTATTCATTGAAGTTACAAAGTGATCATTACTAATTTTAAGACTTAATCACTATCGTTAAATTTATTGTGAATTCACTCAAGACTGTTAACTCTTTGCCACATTACATACTATTGGCACATCAGCATATTCAAATTTGGAATTCATTCGGATTACCACTGGAATCATTTAGAAAATATATAATTGTGGATTTGCGATAGAACTTTAGGACTTTTAAGATTTAATTAATCTGAGTTATTTTTACAGGTATTCTAAGAAAATATCTTATTTGTTGAATTTCGGAATATATGCAGAAGAAACTAATCAGTCTGAGCATCAGGGGACTGTGCTAAACGATGATGTTGTCAAGGGTTTTAATGCCATTTGTCATCGCATGTGCTAAACGATGATGTTGTCAATGGTGTAATGCCATTTGTCAGGGCATGTGCTAAACGATGATGTTGTCAAGGGTTTTAATGCCATTTGTCATCGCATGTGCTAAACGATGATGTTGTCAAGGGTTTAATGCCATTTGTCAGGGCATGTGCTAATCGATGATATTGTCAAGGGTTTAATGCCATTTGTCAGGGCATGTGCTAAATGATGATGTTGACAAGGGTCTAATGCCATTTGTCATTGCATCATAGGTTACACATAGCCGGACGTATATCTTCTGCAGGAAGTATATGGGATACCCCGGAAAGAACCACCGACTCACGACAAGGTTTCTAATGTATCCGTGTTTACCTAGCTTTAGCTTCCAACTCAGGCGGACAGAAATGAATGTCCGTGATTTGTAAAGACAAGGAATTCTGCTAAATGATGTACAAATCTGACAATCGAACACAGTCACTGTCTCTATAATGCCAAGTTTCGTTTTTTTTTTTACAAAATGAAATAAATTAAAAAGCACTATCCATCATCACAGCATTAACATTAGCTGAGGCAAACAACCAAAAAGCTCTGATAATAACAATGTGACTTCCTTTCCTCGTAGAGAAGTTATATACAGCCGTTTCGTGTGTGTGTGTGTGTGTGTGTGTGTGTGTGTGTGTGTGTATGATTTAGATTTTTAGCGTAGCTTTAACAATTTTTCAGTCATATCGCTACGATGTCTACAGTGTGACAGTTTATAGTGATGTCTAGCACTGAAGCAACATGCCGCAGACATGTATCATGATGTCCCACCCAGTCACATTATCCTGACACCAGGCCGACCAGTCCTAACACTAACCTCTTAATGCTGAGCGCCAAGCGAGGCAGCTGTTAGTATCATTTTTTTAAAGTCTATGGTATGACTCGGTTGAGGTTCAAACCCACGACCTCCCGCATTTGAGGCGGACGCTCTTACCACTAGGCCTTCGGGGCGGCTCAACCTGGGAAGTATTGTAAAGAATAGGTTGTACTATTCATTTTTTATTTTATTTTAGTAGTAGTCATAACACACGCGATAGAATGACCACAAATCCATCTGAACATTGATAAAAGGATTTAGATGCAAGCAAGAGAGAGAGAGAGAGAGAGAGAGAGAGAGAGAGAGAGAGAGAGAGAGAGAGAGAGAGAGAGAGAGAGAGAGAGAGAGAGAGAATATTTGAAAATATGTCATCATCTTCGATATAATTTGAACTGCAAACATATACTACAGTTATTAAATGACAGTCAACATCCAGATAAAAGGGAAAGTTTAAGTAAAATGTAAACCTTCGAAATTATATTTGAAGTAGTTTGTTTTCTTTAAGTGTGAATATACATTTTCCATAGACAAATGCCAACTAATAACAGATTTCTTTCCAGTATGACATAGATAGCAAAGAGTGAAATGTGCACCATGCAATAATGTCCAAAACAGTCGAAATTGCCCAATCTATCCGTCCTGTTGTAATAAACCAATTGCCGATGGCTTATGGTACCAGGAGCTACCTCCATCCAATTCAGGAAGACAAAATTAGAAATCTGAAGAGATGAATGTACATTTCGTGATGAAAACCCACGTAACAGAGCTGTATTTACTATATGTACTCTCTACAGGGACGAAAATGGATGGACATATTCGACAAATACTGACGACGCAGTTCAATTCAGTCGTCATGTGCATAATGTATCTCTTGCTGATTTTTGAGGATATCACTACAATAATTCTTTGGAGAGAAATATTCTTGCTTTTTTTTTCTTTAAATAAATAATGCTAAATGATCTGCAATGGGGGGGCTTCACTATATATTTACTAAGACAAGTGTGCTTGGTCTTAATATTGAGATAACATTTTAATTTTTACATTCTTGTTTAGCAGCAATTTTTCTTTTTGACAATCTGAAGTGAACTGACAAAGATTTTTTAGGACGACAATTGCAAACATTTTTAAAAAATGTAACGGAACGTATCACATTTTGTTTCACCTGATGTGATTCACTAATTTACAACACAATACATCTTACAATGGTATGGTTAAATCACATCAGATGTTCCTGTCTGCACTTCACGGCACGGGGGCTGGGGTCGGGGCATGCTTCCCAAAGGTAACTAGAATGCAGTGAGCTTTCCATAAGGACACCTAATTTGACACGATATACAGGAGTGAAAATATCTGACGCTATAAATATTTATCAATTTTATTATATAAAGTTAAAATTGGTTATAATTTACTTCTCATAATCCGTCTAAATTAATTATAGAAGGACTAATTCTTATACACCAACCTGAAATGTACGGAGTTTTAAAAACGCGATATTTTGATAAATCAACAGCTCACACCCCTTTCAACTCTTTTGAAAACACCATAGTTAAGCAGATAAACGAATTGTTCTGGCACAAGAACAATTTTGAATCTGCTTCTCATTTATTAGAAAATATACTAATAGAACATGACAAAACTTTTTTGATTTGCAAAGCTCAAAGTCAATACAATATATAATGCATATGCAATACAATGTAGCTTAACTAAATGAATATGTGGTCTAATAACGGCGACAGGAAATCTCTGCACACATTCATCCTGCTGTGTGTGTGTGTGTGTGTGTGTGAGAGAGAGAGAGAGAGAGAGAGAGAGAGAGAGAGAGAGAGAGAGAGAGAGAGAGAGAGAGAGAGAGAGAGAGAGAGAGAGAGATGTTAATATAAGTTGGAATGTATTACTACACCTACTTAGGGGGATTTTTAGTTGTTTTACATTTGTTGATTCTTCATTTTTAAATAATTCTAATAGGTTAGACACACATACTTTCTACCAATATTAAAAATTTATAAAATGTTACTTTTTTAAGAAGACAACTTAAATTAAGAATATATTTATCTTATATATCCCTAATTATGCATGGTTCACTTTTCTCCTCATGTTGTTCGTTTCATATATGTCTGCCAGTCTCAATACCTAATTAATACGATAAAACATTTAATCTAGTTAAAGCCGTATTGTGCCTGGCATTATCAATGAATCTAAGATAATAAAAGGTTTAAAATATATTTTATTCAAATATGAAGTTTTCAAATAACTGCAGAACTCCATCAACACAAAATCTGTATTTAATCTTTGTCTAAAAAGCGATTATAAGCAATATATTTGGACTGAATTAGAGTAATAGCAAGCATTTCCAAGCCTGAGATAACTAGTATCTTTCTCACATTAGAAATATATATTTAGTCATTCTTTCCTTCACAATCGGTAAGCATTACGGGGGGGGGGAGTTCTCGAAGAATATAATTTTCTATGCTTAGTATTTCAACTCATACTAGATGATATGCACGTATCAATTTACATCAGTTATATATCCCCACAATTCTCCATAAACAAACATATTTTCGGTAGATAGTTTAACATCTGGTAGCTACTTGGACAACTTTCTGTGCATCTATTTTGTATTTCAGTTTTGAAAAATCCCCAAACTTTACCGATTTGGTGTTTCTGTTTGTTTTTCAATAAAAGACGCATTCTTTACCTGGGAATGACATCCTGTTACTGCATTAGATCTGACGCGCTATTAACATCCTTGTGTTTTGTTATACTTATGCTTTTTCGTGTCGAACCAGAAACCAGAAACCAACGACTATGTACTTCCGCATTGGGGTCGCACAGAAGACAGAAAATTTCCTAATAAGAAAAAAAGACATGATCTCTTGTTCTAATATATATCATTCATTCAGAGCGATATAGCAAAAAAAATGACACACGCAAAAATATATTTCTCAACTCTATTGCTTTGCAGAAATATGTCTGTAGTTTCATTTGCGTATAAATCAGAGTACGGGTAATTTCACCCTATTACCTGCCAATGGACTGGCAGCTGTTTTATTCCTCAAAAATGAAAGATTTACCACGGAATAACTGGCTAGAATGCTTATTGATCAACAGATCTTAAAAGTTGTCACTCTAGTGAGACCTTCGTTCATTTTACAGCAGCTGATTCGGGGAGGTGTACGAGTACGCGTGTGTGTGTGTTGGATTTTTAACGTAGCTTTAACAATTTGAGTCAGGTCGTTACAATGTATACATTGCAGCAGTTGATAGTGATGTCTATCACTGGGGCATCATGCAGCTATCGATATCCTTGTGTTTTGTTCTATTTATCCTATTCTGGGTCAATAAAAAATGATGGACGCAAAAAAGAAACTTCTCAGTTCTTTTGCTTTGCAGCAATCTGTACAATGTCTACATTGCAACAGTTGATAACGATGTCTCTCACTGGGGCATCATGCCGATGACATGGAGCATCATGTCCTACCCAGACACCAGAACGAACTGTCTTATCACTAACTTCTTAATGCTGAGCGCCAAACGAGGCATCTGCTTGTACCATTTTTATAATTCTTACCGATTATATATATATATATATATATATAGAGAGAGAGAGAGAGAGAGAGAGAGAGAGAGAGAGAGAGAGAGAGAGAGAGAGAGAGAGAGAGAGAGAGAGAGAGAGAGAGAGAGGGGGGGAGAGGCAACTTATTTACCAGCCTTGCTTGTCCAGATCGTTTTCGTTTATGTGTACATGACAGTGAATCAAATGTACAGGACTTGATCTTCCACATCATTATTATAATGCTACATATCTGTTTTATATGGTGCTGTTGATCAGCCCCAGCAGTCTGTGACACTTAGCTGAATGCGCTTTGTCCTCATCCCTAGGTGGAATCCTGGCTGAGATTCAGAGTTGAATCTCAAATCAATGAGGTAGAAGTATATTTGGCCACTTAATGACCCAGCCTGGTTGGTCCAGATCATTTTGTCTCCTGGTTTATTTGCCCAATTGTCAGTAGTAGCATACCGGGTTCGATCCTCATTATCAACCTGTCTTTGTGAGCTCTTGAAGCTTTGAAAGGGATGTACGAATATTAACAGCATCAAATTGCCCTAATAGGGCAAGATACGTCAGTGGATACACTAACTCGCATTTCCGCAGATTTTATGGGATTCAAAATGTTTGTTATCAAACTTAATTCTCGTCATTCTTATTTAATAACATAATAGACAAAAGCAGAGTAAAGACTTGTCTTTCACAGGCAATAGCCGGGTACCTTACTGTTTTAAATGGATGATACAATCCTAACAAAGCAATGAAGCTTTAGGTATTGTACAGCTCTTTATTACTTTTGCTCCTTCCCTTTAAAACTTTTTGTCCAATGGAAAAAAATTGATAGAGAACCACAAGCATGGAAAAATACCGTGTTTTAGGCACCTGGTTGCTTAATGACATGGAAGACAACGGGGCGTTTCTTTTCTATATAAATGACAACATGCAGCTAAACATTCTCAGCATTTTCAGTCTTGCGTGCATCTATTACATCTTGTTTTAGAGTAATGTAAGATGGAAAAGGCTATGTTGGGTTGCTCGGATTTAGTTTTATTGTGTGCACTGTTCGGGTTCATATTTGTTGGGGACACTAAGGCGGCGAACTGCAACACAATGTTTGGACCCTCTGGGCTTGTGCAATGCGTGAACCTCTACCCATATTACAGTAACAGGAACCAATGGGCAACCTGCCTCACTGACTCTTATATTCGGCAGAAATCTAAAGGACGTGTCCGCGAGTAAATGGCACCCATCGCCTTGCCTGCACGCTTCCAACCCATATACGGTCACGACTAAGCACGCATCACCAAAAGGTGATGGCACTGAATCGGTGTTATACAAGCTTGTGCGCAGCAGACACACTCGCATGACGACCTAGTAAATAATTATCATATATATGCACAGTCGTCCCAGATTCCTATGAAAGAAATCAAGGTATATAGGATTTTTGTATTACAAAGAATTATAAATATATACCAGACAGAACAGACAGTGCTATCCCTGGATTCTGTAGAAGAATCTTGATAATAGTGGGCAGAAATAATATTTTAATACAAACAATATTATTATACAGGTTAGAGAAATTCAATT